CCGATTTCTTCATAATTCAGGAGGCGGGGCTGGGGGCTTTGTGAGGTCATCATAAAGAATGTAACCCTTACGTAAAATTTAAGTTGTGAGATTATCTTTGATATGGGTTGGAAGAGAGAAAGAGAGAGAGAAAGAGAGAAAAAGAGAAGAGATTTCTTCGACATCAAGCTGGTCTACGTAACAGGATAATCTTGAGAAGATTTTCGAGGATTTGGAGATTTGAAATAATGCCAGGGGGAGGGTATGAGTAGGTTAGATGAGACGGAAACTTCAAATTGATACAGTAAGAATTAAGAAATCGTGGTGAGACCATTTTCCTGGAGCATGCGCCTTGAAACACATTGCCGTCAAATCTAATGTCCGGTACGCAAACACCCAAAGGAAAACTGCAGAAAAAAAGGCCCATCAAATCATCTCTGACCATTAGCCAGTCAGACACACACACACCTTTTTCTGGTCATTCACTCTAAATTCCCATCTTCTAGGAAACAGGAAAAGAGCCACCCACATGGCTCTCCTAATTTCATCCTTCCGATTCAAATTTCCTTCTTATTTTTTCGTATTTTTGGCGACTACTACAAAAATGAAGATACAAAATGAGGAAGAAAAATATTTTTCCAACCAATTCTTACAATTTTAATACCATTCGGTAGAAAATTTCGTGCTGGTTGGTTTTGTCTCTTGCCATTTTTCTCTATCTCTTCAATGAACCGAGATATAGCCGCCGGAAGTTGGAAGAGAGACGCAGACAGTCAGACGCTCTAGTCTGTCTGCGTCTCGCGCCTGTTTTGAACAGCTATATCTCGGTTCATTCAAGAGATAGAGAAAAACAGCAAGAGACAAAAATGATCAGCGTGAAATTCTCTAACGATTGATACAAAAATCAAAGTGATTCCCATGAAATTTTTATGCAGAAGTTTTCTAGAAAAAAAAATATTTATGAGTAGACTTATGAGGTTTTCAGCCCACCCAAACCTCAAAAAACTCAATTTCCGCTCTCATCCAGCCACCAAAACTGATCCCGGAAATTGGATAAGAGTTCCGCTTATATAAAAAAAACTGAGTAAACCTTTTGTTAGATTTTCAGAAAGTAAAAAAAATGAGGAAAGTGGGTGGCTCCTCCTACCTGAAAAGGTGTCTTGTGGTCAAGACCAGGTGTATTATCTTTCTTCTAATCAAGTGACGACTGAGGGGATTAGATTCACCTGGACACAAGGGGTTTATGCGGGGGATGATTCTTGAAATTTCAGCTTTTTGGACCCCTCTTTCTCCTTGGCGCGGCGCCTCTTCTCCCCCGGTTATGAACGCCCTCCGCTTCCATTTTGACTTTGCAGGTGTGGCGCAGTGGTTGTGCGTTACGCTGGGGTTCGGGAGGCCGCGTGTTCGATTCCTCCTGAGTGGAATTTCTTTTATTCCTTATTTTTTTCAATTCCAAAGGACTTTTGAACTCTGATTCCACTCCCAAAAATGAGATTAGAAGAAGAAGAGTATCTTTTTTGGAAGCCTTTCTCCTCCCAAGAGACTCATTTTTTGTGCTTTATGATTCCCTTCTCTTCTTCCTTTTTGGTGAGGGTTTTGAGTTTTTGGGAGGCCCAAAGCACAAAATTCTTGAAATTTCAGTGGTAAAAAAAGAAACGTAATGAAGGAAAAGGACAATCGGTGGCAAGGGGGTCCCCTTCCAATCAGACAACAGGCGCCAGGCACCGGAGGGACAAGAGTGGTACCAGGGGAGCCGGGGGGAAGTGGAAAGAACACTTTTTGAGATTGGAAGGGTCCGGTGAAGAGGATGAGGATGAGAAGAAAAATGGGATATTGGTCAGGTAGTAGTAGGCTTTGGGAGATGGATGGGTCAAGGGGAAGAGGAGATAAAAATAGGATTTTTTCTTAGTTTTTTTTTAGTTTTTTCTCTGAAAAAAATTCTGGAAATACTAGATACATTAAGGAGTTCAACTAAAACTGAAGTTAAGAATTAGTAGATCAAAAAATTCTCTATCGATTGCTATAAAAATCATGCATAGTTGTGCTAGAAAATTAGGATCAAAATGTTGAAAAATAGGTTTTGTGTCATTTTCTTCTTTTTGGACCAGTTTTTCTGAATAAACCTTTTATGAAACTGATACCAGTCGATAAAAAGTTGAATATTCTATCGATTGGTATAAAAACCATATCAGGTTGTTTCAGAAAAATAGAGTCAAAAATAGAATTTTTGCCGAAAATTTGTGTTTTTTGCCATTTTTGATCCAATTTTTCTGATAAAACCGTACATGGTTTTCTGATTGAGCAATAGAAAGCTCAATTTTCTATCGAATAGTATAAACTTCAAGTAGAGTTGTTTCAGAAAAATAGAGTCAAAAACAAGAAAAACTGAAAATTCAATGCTAAAAATAAATTTTTCCTGACACAACCCTACACGGAACTCATAACAATTGAAAAATAATTTTTGATCTACTAATCCTTTTTTTGAAATTCTAGGTTTATGAAAAGAGCCGCCGTCAGGAACTTTCCATCGTAGACCAATTTCCGGGATCAACTGGATTAGGCTAGTGGAATGAGGAAATAATACTTTTTTTGAAATGAAAGCGCACCCGAAAAAATGTCAATTTGATTTTACAGGCAGCAAAGAAAAAATCTTAAAGAAAAAGCTTTTTTGATGTATCAAAACCTAGAAACAAACTACAAAAAAAAGCAAAAAATTCTAAAATCTAGTTAATTTAACAAAATTATTTGGTCCTAAAAATTCAATTATGAGTAAGAAACCACCACCCCCGTCCTTTTGAAATCGAAGGTCAGCAAAGTTGGCTTTACCAAAAATTCAAAAAAAAAACCTACAGGTGCATTTTGGTTAAAAATAGAAAAAAGTTTGAAAAACTGAAAATCGATCTAAAAAAAATTATGAAATTGGCTCAATTATTTCATTGAACCCTAGTCTAAAGCTCATTAAAATAATTGGCAATTTGAGAGGGGATAATTAGGTGAATGGGCAATTTTTGAAACCATTAATTAATAACTGCTGAAGCTGTCTATAAAGTTGTTTCAAAATTTTTGTTTTGGGGGTGCTTTTTTATTTCGAAAATGGTTTTTCACAAGAATTCAACTGCCTAATCCAAGTGATTCAGGGAACTTGGTCTATGAAGAACAGTTCTTTCGAGAAACCTGGGATTTTTGATTAATTGATTGGTAGATCAAAAAATTCTCTATCGTTTGATATAAATTTCATACATGGTTTTCTCAGAAAAATAGCGTCAAAAACCTGAAAAATTATCATTTTGAGAAAAAAACTCGTTTTCCAGAATTTTGGACTGAATTTTCTTAAGCAAAGATATATGATATTTGTATCAGTCGATAGAAAATTCAATTTCCTATGGAATAGTAGTAAAATCATATAGGTTTGCATTAAAAAAAATAGAGAAAATGTGAAAAATTGAATTTAAGCACATAATTTTTAGATTTTCAGGTTTTGGGCAAATTTTTCTGTAGCAACTCCTTATGATATTCATACCAGTCGATAGAAAATTTAATTTCCTATCTATTGGTATAAAAATAATATGGGTATGTATTAGAAAATGTAAAGCTAAAAGTGAAAAAATTGAGTTTTACCGCTGAATCTTCAAAATTTCAGTTTTTTGAACCAATTCTCTGAAAAATTAGGATTTTCAGAAATTTAGAGTCAGGTGTAATCTATAAAAACAAAAAAATTTTGGACTGTCTTAAAGGGTTTTTCAAAAATTGAGTTTCATAAATTTCTAAAAACTCAGGAAAAATAATCCAAAAAGGGTCATCACATGCCTCTCATCACAGAAAAGCAAAGCAAGAAAGAAAAAGAAAATCCCATTAGAAAAGGGAAAATTGAAAAAAAAAATCAGGAAATCCATCTCTATACAACATCTTCCCCCCTCTCCTCTTGAAGAAGGAAGAGCACATCGATCGTTGGTGGGGGGGGGAGCAGGAGGGGGGACAAAAAAAAGAAAAAAGAAGAAGAAGAAGAAATAGAAGAGTGACTACACATACTCTTTTCTCTCTTCTAGCTGCCAGGGGGAAGAAGGGGAGGAGTGGAAAAAAGAGAAGATGAAAACGGTGAGGAGAGGGAGTGGGGGTGGTGGTGGTTTTTCGAAAAAAAAAAGTGAGGGAGTAGTAGTCGGATGGGGAAGGGGTCCCGACTGACACTTGAGAGCTTTTTGAGAGAGAAGGGGACTCTATGGGACCCCCTTGGGCCTCTCAGTCAGGGGACACACACGCACATTTTGAATGAATAATTGGGTCAGTAGTCACACACTTCATGAATATGATATGATCCCAGGGAGGGGGAGGAGTTTTTTGTGGGTCTTAGGCTTGGTAGAGTCTCCTAACTCTCCTAAAAAGTGCTCTGAAACCTTGAGAAACCATTTCTTCAATCAAAAACAGTCCTAGAAAAAAAGCAAAAGAAATATCACACCTAGGAGAATTGAACCCAAACCCTGTCGATTACTAGCCTAGCGCACTACCACTGCGCCACGCGGGCAAAACTAAAAATTAGTGCGGAGGGCGCTGATAACTGAGGGGAAGAGCGCAAAGGAGCGCGGTGTTTCCAAAAGGGTTCCGAGGGGATTTCGAGAAGATCCCGGACAGGGAAGGGCTGAAAGTTGCCTTAAAGGCGCAGGGCGGGTCTCACCACGGAGAGAAGTGTACTGTAGGAGAGCGGTTGAGTGTGGAAATGTTTTCTTTTACTAGAAATTTTCTTTGCTGGTTTCTTTTTCCATGTTTTTCGTCAATCTGGAAAGCCAGACTTCAGCAAGAATGCGTTGAAGTACCCTAGTATTGCCCATCGTGGTGAGACCTTTCGAAACTGAGTGCCCATTCAAAGCGTTGTAGGATGTGACCTAGCCCTGACTTTCAGCCTTCAGCTTAGGTTCTGACATGGTTTCTGGAATGTATCATTTCAAAAATCCCATTTTGATGATAAGAATAGGCTTTTCAAACCAAAACCCCCCCCCCCCCCCCCCTAGAAAAAAAGCAAAATAGAATTCACCACATAGGATTCGAACCCAAAACCTCCAGCCTACCAGTCTAGCACACAACCACTGCGCCACACCGTCGAACTTCGCGTTGGCAGTAAAGGGCAGTGATAAACGAGGGGAGGAGGAAAGTTTGTCAAAAATCGGGGACACGCGACATTTTGAATGAATAATTAGGAGTCTGAATATGATATGGGGGTAAGGGAGGGGGGACTCAGTTTTTTGGAATTAGCTTATTAAGAATTCAGAAATGATGTTATATGGAATTGAGGGGAGAAGATGGGATGATGATTCTTGATGTGAATTGATGAATGAATAAGTGAATAGGGAAGAAAAGGAGAGAGAGAGACGGGTGGGGGTACGGTAGGTCAGAGATGACTTGAGTTGGAAGACGAGGCGAAAAATGGGAATGATGAGGAGAAGAAAGTTGGAGTGGGGGAGGGACTTCTGGGTCAGATTTGAGAGGCTTTGGGGATTTTTTTGGAGATTTCTCAGGTGTCAGGTAGAGGTTTTTGGGTGGGTGGGCTATCTTTCAAAGTTTTCAAAGTGTTTTTTACTTTAGATTATTACTGGATTTTTCAGCTTGACCGAGCATTTTTTCCAAGGCTCTGGGGAGATTTTTAGGAGTTTTAGAGGGATTTTCAGAGGGTTTTGGGATGAAAAATTGGGGGTTTTAGGCTAGGATTACTAAGTTTTTGGTGGGAGTTTCTGGGGTTTAGAAGAGGATTTTTGAAAGTTCAGGAGCGAGATTTTCAAGAGCTTTGATGGGATTTTTAAGTCAGAAATTACCTTAAAGGCACATAGCCTCAACTAAACTTCATTTGAGCTCACCTTAAAGGCGCAGCGTCCATACCTGTCGAAATCCAGGCCGGTCCGGGCCGGGACCAAATGAGATTTTTCGGGTGGGATCGGGCCAGGTAAGGAAAATTTTTTAACTGAAAATTGATAGCTTTTACACGGAAAGAAGCTATTTTCAGTAAATAATTTGTTTTTGTGGGAAAATAAGCTTTTTCAACATGAAAACTCCCACTTTTTCTCGAAAATTAGAAAATTGTCATAAAATTTTAGCTGAAAAATTCGAATTCTCTCAAATCCGAGCCCGCCGGGTTTCGCCGAGCCTTATTTGGACAAGTATGGCAGGGTCCCTTTCCAGAAAGAAAAAATTCGCATGCGCCTTTAAGGTGAATTGGGTCGGGTTGAACAAATTTGGCCCCATCCATATAGCCGCAGGCAAAAAACTCCAAAATGTTTTCCTGTTTAATGAGAAACCTCAGAGAGAATATTGAAAATATAAATTTTTGCTTTTTTCAGCAACCAACTTTATGTGTAGGTTTATAATGAGTACTGTAGCTCAGGACCTAATTTTCAGAATTAAATTTCTTCCAGCAAAAACATGTTTTTTTTTTCATTTTTCGATTGGAATGAGTCACTGGCAGGAAGGGAGACCCGAATTCTAATTAGTAGTGGGAGGTATTTTTTCTTGCAAAGACAATTTTTTGTAGCTCACAAAAAATGAAAAAAAATTCGGAAAAAAATTAATTTTTTTGTGTGACAATAACAAAAGGCCGGTTTTTCGGAAATGAGTCATTTTTTCGAAATTGGAGTCGTTGAAGAAAAAATTCAGAGAACAAAAAATATGACCGGTATTTATATTAGAGAAGCAGGGACTAAAAGAAAAATGTAAAATCGTCAAGTCTGACGCAAAGATTTTCAAATTTTTTTTAAAATTTTCTTCCAATAGATAGAGAATTTCATGCTGATCATTTTTCTCTCTTGCCATTTTCCTCTATCTCGTCAATGAACTGAGATATAGCCGCCGGAAGTTGGGAGAGAGACGCAGAGAAGGCTAGAGCGTCTGCCTGTCTGCGTCTCTCGCGCCTTCCAACGACAATATCTAGGTTCATTGAAGAGATAGGGAAAAGTGACAAGAGACAAAATTGGTCAACGTGAGAAGCTCTATCGATTGGTATAAAACTTGGGGAAAATTAGAAAAAAAAATTTCGGAAAAAAGTATGAAACCAAAGTTAATTAATTTTGCAAAAAATCTTCAATTTTTACACCAAACATCTATAGAAGAAGTGCAGTCATCATGTCATTTCCAGACCTCTTCCTTCAAGCTCCGCCCCTTTTCTCTCTCTCTCTCTCTCTCTCTCTCTCTTCTCAAAGAACATATAATCTGTTTTATGTATTCCAGAACCAAAAGTGATATGAATGAATGAAAAAAAAAACTTAATGATCTTCCTTCTCATCCTTTTTCTAATTCATCCGATTGACGCACATTGACGAGAGAGGGGAGGAGGGGACGGAGGAAGGATAATCCATTTCTTTTGGAAAAAATGAAAAAAATGGGATGAATAAGATGAAGAATTATCTGATCAAAAATTGGAAATTTCAGCTTTTGTAAAAGATTTTTTAGACAAAAAATGGGTCCGTTTTTGGAGGAACCGAGTCAAATTTATGGGTTAAAAACCGAGGAAACTTGTCTGAAAATGACTGAAAATTGGAGCAAAAGTTCCAGAATCTCGCCTGAAGATGAGCATTTCTGGTCAAAAACTGCTAAAACTTGATGTTAAAAACTCCGAGAAACGGTCTAAAACTTACGAAAATTAGATCTTCAAACGCTCAAATTTAGGCTTGAAAACACTCACAAAAAGACCTGAAAATGACAATTTTTGTAGCATAAACCCCTAATTCTTATCGTATGTCAACCTCTCAAAATGGGGAAAATTGTAACCAAAATCCAGAATTTCCAGTGAAAAACCGTTGAAAATCGTGTTAGCTGTGGATAAAAATGATGAAATATGGAGCTGAAAGCGGGGCTGAAGATCGATAACTCTTAACTGAAAAATCGTTTGAAATAGGTCTGGAAAACCTTGAGTTTGGGGCCAGAATGGGTGCCAAAACTTTTGAAAAACGGTGAGAAAATCATATTTTCCAATTGCACAAAACGTGACCCCTACCCCTTTGACCAATACTTTATAACAACCAACCATCTGAACAATGAACATTTCTGAGGTTTTTCTTCTTCTTCTTCTTCGAAAGATAAAAAACAAAAAAAGATGCCGGAAGATACTGTTGATGAGACACTCAAAGTTGGAACTATTGTCGGAAAGAGATATAAGGTAACTGGGAACGGTCTTTTCGAAACCAGACGTTTTGAAACTTTGACATTTCGCGACTGGAAAATGACACGAAATAAGCCACCCGATAGTAGCATGCGCGCCTTTAAACTTAACGAAACAACGGTTTTCGTCAAATTTCGTCCATCTCTGCTTCAATTTTTCGTTCTCTCAAATGAGTATACTAAAATGTTTTCCCGGAACTAAAAGGTTCTGATCAGTAGGATAAAAAGAATGAAGGATTTTCTTGAAACGTCACTAACAGCTTGATTTCACAATCCTGAATTTTGAAAAAGACCAATGTCTTTGAGATGTCAAAAATAATCAGCTAACATATAGATAAGCAGCTTTTCGACTTCTTAGTGATGCTTGTCTCTACATTTCACTGAATCCCACCAAATCCATTTCTGTGATTTCTGTTTTGTTTCGTTAATCGTTAAGCAGACACAAAATCTAAGAATTGTGATTCCTCAATTATCCTAAACGGGAAACTATTTCGAGAAAAATAAAAACAATTTCAATGAATCCAGAAAAGAAATCATTTTTCTTAATCGAAGTGCTCCCAGGGTGTTCCCCAGAGTAAAACTGACCCAACTAGTAACGGGTACTTCCGAAGTACCTGGCGATGACTTTAAAATTTCAGCCGGATCGAAATTAAGCCACATTTTCATGAACCTGTTCTGGAAGCTTACTGGGAGGTTAGGTACAACACGGGTCTAATCTAAACAGTTTTGGTCGCACTTGTGACGGGCCGGACTTTCCCAGCAATTTTTTTTTCAAGGGCCCGGCTTGGCCCGCTCGCCTTTGACGGGCCTGAAAGATTACCGCAAATTTTTATGAATCGAAAAAAAATTTCCAAATTTTGTGCTCTAGGGTTATATTGAGCATAAAAACATTAGTGTGTGTCTTTGAAGCATTTTACACCACTTTTTTCAAAGAAAAAATTCAAATTTTTTTGAATCCCGACCGCCAGGCGGGCCAGACTTCGGAAGTTGTCGGTCCGGCCCGGATCGGGCCTTCCGGGCCGGGTCGAAATTCCACATGTATGCTAGAACCGATCCTAGGAATTCCAAAACCTGTCTGATTACCACAAAACTCTCATTTTCCGTTAAAACATTTCAAAATCCAGTTTCCTGGTCCACTTGGGCCCGTAAGTAATCTCTAACACGTGTATATCATTGAATGAATGACCAAATGACACCCAACCACGTGGCCCTGCCCTCCTCCCATCTGGTAATCCGGATTAATCGCCTAAGCATGCTCATATATACATGACAAGAAAAAAAGCAATATACATAAGAAACCACACGACTTTTAGAATGAATATGTTTCAGAATGTAAGAAGGGGGAGGTAACAAAATTGAATAATTCGGTGCATTATGACGTTTTTGGAACAGGTGTTGAGAGTCTATTTGAGTCAATGAGGCAAAATGAGGAAGTTTTTGATCGATAATCTCGTTAGAATTTTAGTGACGTAACATCTTTGTGCCTCCCTGTCTGCGTCGGAACCGGTGCGTACAGAGACGCAGACAGGCAGACGCTCTAGCTTCTCTGCGCCTCTCTCTTCTCTTTGAGCGCCTATATCTCGGTTCCTAGGAGAGATAGAGAGAAGTAGCAAGAGACAAAAATGATCAGCGCCAAATTTTCTATCGATTGGTGTGTACTGTGATTAGAACAAAATATTTTGACACTGTTTTTCAACCAAAGTTGCCCTTCTATTACAGGTGACTCAAAAACTCGGTGAAGGTGGGTGTGGATCGGTGTTCAAGGTGGAGGACATTGAGGACAAGGGACAGCAGTACGCGCTGAAAGTGGAGTTTAACAATCCGAATTCGGGAAACGTACTCAAAATGGAGGTTCAGGTAATACGATTAGGAGACGCAGACAGCCAGACGGTATACTCTGTCTGCGTCTCTTGCCCGTAACTGCCATTTAGCGCGCAGAGACGCAGACGCGGCTAGAGT